GTGAACAGGCGCGCACTTTACCACTGGGGTGGCTATACATCCGTTTATATAAACAAAACCATAAATATATAAGGCAAATCAAGTCTTGATAACTTCATCTTCAACCTCCAGCCGGTGTTCTTGTAACTTCTTCATTTCTCAACAAAAATGGAAGATGACAAAATGAAAGTTGTGCTATTTTTTCTCATGAATCCAACCATATAACTTATGTAAGCTAAAAGTCAAAGATGAAGATTAATTTTGCTGGCCCTAAATTGAAACCTAATTTTCTAAGAAATTTCAAATCTAAAATTCTCTATACACAGTCAATATAAATGAGAACTATGAACATGGTTAGCTTTAGAGCAAAGATATCTATATTTTATCTTCACAAATCAGGATCAAATGATGCTTGTATGAAGAGATAGAAGTTTGAAAACTTACCTCTTGCAGCTAGAGTCGTGAATGGAGTTTGAGAAACTTTTGAGATGACCTGAGGATCTGTTTAGCTTGCCTGGACCTCCTTGAGTGTATTCCAACTCCTACTTTGCCTTGAAAGTCCCTAAATCTCTCTACTAAAGTCAACCTGCAAGCTTGATGTTTGAAAATGGTGGATAGTGATGAAGGAGTTACAGTCTTGAAACAGGGGCCTGGATTACTTTGGTATGATGTATAGAAGGTGTTTGAATGATTGGTTTTCAAAATGCACGAGTGGAAATGAAGATGATGAGTTTTGGCTCAAAACTGTCAAGTTAGGCAATTTTGTGCAGTAATGGTGTTTTGGAGAGTTTTAGGGTCTTCAAGCTCGTCTGTTATCTTGCAAATAGTGTATGTACTTATAGGCAAGAGGTTTTGAGGCTTGAAACAACTCAGAAATTGAAATCACATGTTATGGCTTGGTTACTTGATTTTGAAGCAAAGTTGACAAACATGGTTTCAATGTGAAGTACAAGGACTTGTAGGGTGGTTAGCAGGCTGTAGATATGTTGCTTCTTGCTTTTAAATATTTTGGAGTCAGAAACAACAATGTATAGGCTCAAGAAGAATTGACATTGTGATTAAAGTCACTTTTCCAAAATGGAAGTGGCGACTTTCTTCCCAAAATGGAAATGCAACTTGGATAATGGCTCAAATGCTTGGACAATGGCTCTATCAGTTGTGTAAACATTAAATTATTAAGTTATTAGAAAGTTTGAAACCTGCAAAGCAAGATTTGTACAACATGCTTGAAGATTGGATCAAGTGTTCTTCACAAAATGGCTTGTAATTCAAGTTTTGAAACCCTAACTTCTAGCCTTCGATTCTCCTTGCTCAAGAATGATCTTAAGGAGTTCTTGGACATTTTGGAAATCTTGAAATGTTCTCTACAACCTATATTTGAATTTCTTTTGAAGATTTCCCTTCGAACTATGTGAAAAATTTCCATGAATTTATGTCAAAAATCTGCCTAACTAGGGCAAAATTTCACTAAGTCTTTTTTAGTTCATGAGCATGTATTCACAAAATTATAACTTGATGTCCAAGCACTTTTAGGATAATTTGTATTTAGAAAAGTTATATATTTAATGGAGATATACAACTTTCATGTTGGAAGTTTCCTTTGAATCATCTTGCATCATGGTGAAAATTTGGCTCAAAGTTATGAAAAAATAAGAAATTTTCAACACTTAGAAAAAATTCTAAGTTTAGAAATTTTGGCTTTTCAAAATGAAATCTTGATTTCTTGATTTCTTGATGAATAAGTTTTCCTATTTTGACATGTTTTGATGAATTGTGATATTTGGCACTTGAATTTGACTAAAAAGTCAAAGTTTGACTTTTCAGTATACAGTTGACTTTTGATCAGTTGACTGCAAAATTCATCTGTCAATCCAATGGATTTGTAATGTTTTGAATTATGTAATTAGGTCAAAATGATGAAAATGGACTCTTGAGATCATGCCTTAAACCAATTGACCATTTGGTAGGTCAAAAATCAGAAATTACCCTTTCCCAGTCAAAACCCTAATTTTGACCATTTTGCCCTTTTGATGATTTGATCAAATATCTTGAGGAATTATGGTCCAAAATTGATCAAATGATACATATGAGTATAAGATGTTGATGTGGATCAAAAATTATGAAGTTTGACTGTAAATTGGCCACGGTTGACTTTTTCCCCAATACAACTGATTTTTAGGTCAATTGTTCAATTGACTGATCAAAAGTGTGATCCAAGGCTTGAAACTTGACATGAGTAATCTTGGGGGTCCATAATGATACATGAAAGTAATATGAAACATTGATAGTTCAAAAATCCTTGTGCAAACTCAAACCCTAATTTTGATCATCAGTGCATAAGGAGGTGTCTTGAGTTGATCAAACTCTAGTGCAGTCTTGAGCCCAATGAGATCTTATGAGAAAATTCTTGATAAGTGGGAGGGAAAATTTTAGGGTACAACACATGGATTCAAGCCTAAGGTCTAATTAGTTCAAACTTGAAAGAGAATGAACTAACAATCCTAAGGGGAGCATGTGATCACGCAATAGAAAGCAAAAACACAAAGCTTGAGGAGTATTCACTCACTCAAGTAGCACACACCTAACTGAGGTATTATGTCACCAAGGTAGGAAAGGGATATGGATAACACCTAACCACTATATCGTGTCATAGAGGTAGGATAAGGGAAGTGGGACACCTAACCATGTTATCGTGTCATCAAGGCAGGATAAATAGAGGCTTAACCAAGATATCGAGTCATCGAGGCAAGTAAAACTGGGGGAAACGATAGTTCTTAGACATGATATCATATCATCAAGGCAAGAATAATAGGGGTGTCGACTATTAACCACGATATCATGTCATCTAGGCAAGAGAAGAACAAAAGTGAATCATCATAGGTGACTAAACACCTAACCAAGATATCGTGTCATCGAGGTAGGTGATAAAAGACAATAATGAGACCATGTAGAAAGCATTAACATTTACAAACGCGAGTAATAGACAAATTATGGGGGTTGATTGTAAAACGTCTACTCCACTTGACTGACTCGATAACGAGAGTATCACTGTTCATAGCATTGACATACGACGTGAGCTACGAACGACCTGGGGACTAGAAATGGTGGGGTCGATTGCGGACCCTTTGTTCCCCTTATGCCTTCTTTGAGGACTTATCAATGGGGAATGGGAATCAGATGCCTTCTTTGAGGTCTTTGGCACAAAGATAAACACGCATAATCGCCTTCATAGAGGACTTTAAACAAGCAAGCAAAAGTAGGAATTTCCTTCTAAAGGTATTTTAAAACAATATTTCCCACCTAAAATAGGGACTCCCAGTCATGCATCTCTATTCCTACTTCTCATGATAAGAAAAGCGGTAAATGATCATGCATCTCTATTCCTACTTCTCATGTTAAGAAAAGCAGAAAATAATGCAAAGTGCTATAGACAAGAGCAAATACCGAACATATATCAATCTGTAATAAAGCTCAACGAGTGTAAGAAACTTGGAAAACTTCGAGCAAGCTAGCATCAACAAAAAAATAGTCAGAATATGCGTCAAAGCATCATGTGAAAATAAATCACAAATGGAATATGTAGCGGACACATTCGAATGTCAATCAATAAACCTGCACAAACATAAGTCCAGACAAGAAAATAACAGTATATGCATTTCATAGAATGAGACTCACAATCAATCGCATTGTAAGCAAAATTGAACCACAAATAAGTGGAATAACATGTATCAGTCAAATAACCAATAATTGATTAACCGATTAAACTCTCTTAAGGAAACCTTGAACAAGTACACAAGAGGAGTTAGTGATAACAAGAAAGTGTAATCGAATGCAAGCAATCATATCACAACTCAAAATAAGATCACAATATGGAGAAATCTCATCCGAGCAAGTATCGAAACATAGAAGTAGAAATTCGGGCAGCACCGCACTAGCATATGAAAGTGCACAAAAAGTCATCGTGAAAGTGTGAAAATTTAACTCCGATATCAAGTACTTGTGGAATTAAGCTCAAATTTGTATTTAGAATGAATTAAAACACAATGTAGATGCAAAATAGATTTCCCGGGCAGCGACTATTTAACACATGGCAATGCACAAAATTGAGTCGAAATCAATGGTACTTGATGTCGGTGTCAAGCAAACATGCTAGCAAGCTCATGTACGCACTTAGTTGGAATTAAATCATGCTACGTGCCAAACTTAGTATTTTGGGAAGCGGTACCATAACACATGAAATCAATGCAAAAACTGGATTAAAAGCAACCAAACTTGGTACCAGTGTCAAAGAAATGACCGATTAAGCACACAAATGCATTATTCAAGAACTACATCTCATTGTTCATGTAAAATTGAATTCTGGAAAGCATTGTTGTAACTTTTTAAGTGTGTGAAAAGTTGGAATAAAATTCACGGAAATTGGTATCGGTATCTATCAAAAGTGCCAACGAGTTTGAAAAAACAACAATCCGGAATTAATTCACATGTTACAGTATACTTTCAAATTTCGGACAGCCCTATGCATATATTGTTATTCACCAAGAATTGATTAGAAAATCAAGGTTTCAACGCATTAACTTTGAATATCAACATATGGAAGTTCAATCAGAATTTACAAACATAATGCATCTGCAAAATCGGTATTGGAAGCTACAACTCCAAGCCTTGAAATCACATATTTCTTACGCGACGAAAGTGATTAAACAAGTTATAAATTAATTTCGATTCATGAGTTTAAGAATTTGTCAAGAAAATAATGAAATGAAATCAATTTACGACACGTAAATTCCAACAATCAAGAAAAAAAAAGCGAATTTCGACACGCAAGCTCTACATGATTCTCAAACAATTGATTAAATTCAAGAAGTTCACAACATTTTTAAGGTTGTGATTCAACCAATTCCAACAAGATTTAACATAATTGAAAAATTAAGAATAAAAAAATTCACAATTATGAAATTCAATTAAAAAAATTCACATAATCTCAATAAAATTCAAGAATTAAGCAAAAAAAATTGGTAACAAGTGCAATTAAAGTGAATTATAGGATTGATGCAAAGAGGAGAAACCGGAAAAGCGCACGAAATCAGAGGAACACCGGTGCTGGCCGGAAAATGCACAGAAAAGAGGGAGATCTCGCCTGAAACAAATGTGGAGACGATGGAGGGAGCAACTGCGATGTATTTGCATGGAGGAGATGTGATCAGAGATTGCGCGATAACTGAGGGAGTGACTGGAATTGACGCATAAGCTAGCTTGCAGAGTGAGAAGCGGTGGTGATTAGAGAAAGAAGGGAGAAGAATTGAAGTTTTTGAAGTTTTGTTGATTTTTGTTCTTGAACAATTTGGGGAAAAAGTTGAGAGAGTAGTGTTTGATCTTAGAGTGAATTGGGAGAAAAATGTGAGAGGTTTGTAAGAATGAGTGTTGTTATGAGTGAAATTTTGAAATTCAAAATATATAGTTTTGGATTCAAACTTGAGTTTTCAGATTATTTCGTCCACTGTCAACACAGAACCTCCAAGCTTAGGACAATCAGTGCGGAATCTCGTCATAGGACTTGAAACAAAGCTCTCGATGAGGAAATTTGTGACGTGGTGCCGAAAGAATTTTCTTGTTACGATAAAAATTGAGCGAGTTATGATATTTCGAATGGTGAGAAACATTGGACTTATTTCACCGTATTGAAAATTTCAGCTTATTTCCGTGCGCACTTTTGTATACGAACCATAAACGAAAACCTTCGAAACACATTCCAAACCCGGGACCTGAAGAAAAGTTGTAGTTGATAAAATTTGTGATCTCACACTTCAAGAATCGTCTCGATATAGTAAAAATTGAGAAAGTTATGAATTTTTTAATGTCGAGGAACGATCCGTCAGAAAACCATTTTGGGATGCAGTTTTCTCTGGTAATTCGCACTTTCAGAGATCTTCTGTAATGAATTAACTCTTGACCCGAACATACGAATTGAAGATAAAATCAAGAAGGATTTTTTTCCCAAAGAACGACTAAAAAATGTTGAACCAGCTGAAAGTTATGAATTTTTTAACGTCTGAAAAATAACGATTCAACATACTGTTTCCACTATATCTCCACCGTATAGCTTCAGAATAATTGCGTGTTCGGAAATCTTCCTTATTGAATTGGCTTCCGATCCAAACACGAGAATCACAAGAAATAACAAGATGGTTCACATGCTCTAAGAGCCACTCAAAGATGACCTTCGGATCAGAAGTTACAAATTTTTAAGCAATCTGAAACACGACAAACCAGCAAATCCACTGTACCGTGAATTTAGTTATTCACGCTCTTGAAAATCTTCTGCAAAGAATTGGTTCCCAATATGAACATATGAAATGTAAACATTGTCACAACAGATCTAATGCTCTAAGAACCTATTAAATATAATTTACTGGTCACAATTTACGAATTTTTACTCATCCGCGAAACAGTAAACCAACATACCCAACTTCGACATATTTGCATTTTCAGGAATCCTCCTCAAGGAATTGGCTCTGAACCCAAACATATAAACTATAGATAATTTCAAGACGATTCTCACACCTAAAGAATCACCCCAAAATACTTCTCCAGGAGGAAGCTGTGAATTCTTGAAGTCACAATGTGAAATACAACTTTTCAGTTCAAATCGTTATAACTCAACTGCATCACTTGATTTTTCTATACCGTTCAAAGCATACAGAACACATGATAGCCAGATAAGATGATAACTAGATTGATTGCTACTTGAATAGCCTAGAAACTGTACGGGGTGTAGTTAAATGCGGAAAACACTGAGTTGTACTTTGTTGTACCAACTGACGGAACAAGCGTTCGCTCTAAATCTTAAGTGATAAACACCATGATCCTGTGGTTATAGTAGCAATGATATGTATGTATGCATATGATGATGAAAAAAATAAGACAATTAGAGTTAGAATAAAGAGGGAAAATTTTGGGGTACAACAGATGCACCTATTCAATCATCTTTAACCTGATAAGTGAGAAAAGTGACAACTTTCGAACATCTAAGGTGGAAGAGGATTGAATAATACATCTGGCCATGACACACAACCGCTAGCCTTTTCTCGTCGATGAGGTTCAACTGATCCATCCGATTCGGTACCCATTTACCTTCATCAAGCTCAGAATCTCTCATGATCCTTAAAGATCGACTTCCATAGGCAAAACTGCTTCCATTCCATAAACCAGGGAGAAGGGGGTTGCCCTAGTCAAAGTGCACATTATAGTGCGATATCTATACAAAGCAAAAGGGAGCATTTTGTGCCAGTCCTTGTATGTGACCACCATCTTTTGCATAATCTTCTTGATATTCTTATTGGAGACTTCAACAACATTGTTAATCTGTAGGCCCATTGTATTTTTCGAACACAGGGGGTTTGAATTTAGCAGGAACCCTCACTCCTGGCACCAAACCTAGATCATTTGCATCTATGCCAAGGACACCCTGCCCATAAAAAACTTTCAAGCGCTGTTCCAGCATACAATACTTCCTGTCTTAAATATGAAAACTTGTTTCAGAATTGTTCACTGAATACTGGTCCTCATCGTTATCGTGATCAAACTTTGACATCAGATAATTTCTCCTACCATGATGACCCCCTCTTTCGGCAAGGAGATGAGAGCCGGGAGGTGGGGGAAAGTGACCACGACTATCATGTAAGCCCTGATGAAATGGATTGTAGGGGTCCGGGCAAGGTTTCCCCTACATGTTTTCATGATACTTGTTGTCGAGTCCAATAGAAACATCTTTGTATAAACCCTGATTTCCAGTATCAGCTTGGTTCCTCCGAGTATTTTTGACCAAAGCCATGAGCTCGTCCTGCCTTCTGCTCACATTAGTAATGACCTTCTTAAATTTGGTCATTTGATTGGCCATATGGGCCCTCACTTCATCTAGTTTTGTCTGTACTTGTTCCATCTGACGTGGTAGGTTGCTTCTGGTAGAATAACAATGAGTAGTCGTCTTGTAGAGGTCTGCTAAGAAAAAGCAGAGCCAAAGGATAAGAAGTCCAGTCTGAATAAACATGTAATGTATGATATGAACGATATGTATGAATGCATGCAATGACATGTTTAGATATTTCCAGGGTTCTAGCACTTTGATTCAAGTTTGTAGGTGAGACCCAAAGATGAGATAATGGACACCAATAAACTAGATTCTCATTAAACCAGAATAATCAAGAAATACAAAGAGTTCAACCATTATCACCAAGTGTATTAGAATATCATATGAGAGATCTTATCAACAAGCCTGATGATGATCCTTGAGAAAAGAAAATACAAGATCTAAACATCAGACATCAGATAGCTCGTGGATCCCTACCATCTTATTTGACTTTTGAGACTAGCGATTTCTTCAGTGGCTTGTGCTAGATACATACTACTCCCCTTGAGCTTAATTTCTTTCGCAAGCCTCTGAATACTGTCTTCTTTAATTTGGGAGCCTTTTTTTTAGAAGTTTCTCCTCTAACTTCTTGACCTTATCTTCATATCTCTTCTCCATGTCAGACTTGGATGCTTTAAGAATGTCGTAATCTTGGCATTTCTTCTTTTAATTATTTTAAATTGTGGCCATAACTTTCTGGTGATCTTCCAAAGAATAAAATTGTCATCAACTCTTGGTCTCTTCCTTGAAACACCTGACACCTCTCCCTTGAACCTTTTGAGCTCTTGGGCTAGCTGAGTCTTCTCTTGAGTAGATACAAGACACTTTACCTGCATGGTCTCACGTTCCTCAAGCAAATGTCGATTGAGAGCTTGCACTAGCTCATAATCTCCTTTTTGCACCGCATCGGGAAGATCTGGCTCTTGAGGATACAAAGGCTTTTCTTTGGCGAACGGCTAACAACGATCTTTATTTCTCTCTTTGATCCACTGAATGTAAGGTGCATAAGCTTTAGGATCCTTCCTACCAAAATATTGTCCTCCTTCAAGGTGAATACTTTTCTAGGCCTTGATAGCCCTATTCATCCATCCGGTGTTGTTAGGCACATCATAAAATAAGGATTCTCACACATGCTCCTCTTTAGGAGGTCCTTTCAGAGCATAACCTAACTTTCTTTGGGAAAGAGTTGGATTAAAGTTGTTACCACCCCTTATACCCATGAGAGGTACATTAAATAATTCTCCACAGCGAAAGATCACTTCCTTACTTTCAGCTCTAGACAAATCATGCTTAAAGACTAGAGTATCCATCTTCCAAAACAAAACTCAAAGACTAGAACAACAAAACTCAAGGTGGCCTAACAACAAAACTCAAAGACTAAAGTAGCAGGAAATAAGAAAACATGTATGTCAAAATGCGGTTAACACAATGTTTCATGAATGCAATGTGTAACACCCATTTCTAACCCCAATCAAATATAGCATAAAACAAAGTAATATTGCATGCATAACAATGAAAGGGTGTCACATGTCGTTTTCCAAAACATAGAAAACCAATAAAATAATCATCAACATATACTTGGTAATAATACATAACATATATTCAACTTCATGTTTCCACAACTATGCATATCACAGCGGAATATTTCTTTACTCAACTCTTATCCATGATTATATCACATACTATCATCATGTATCAACATACTATCAATTCATAACATAAAAGTCATATGAATCCAAAACATTGGGAACTAAGGCCACTCAACATATTATCTCAAAATACAAACCAAATAAGAGAATATAGCAATATCTCTTCACAACAAAAATGAGTTCAAATACCCCCCGTGTTACATGACTAGAGCATTGACTCACTACCTAAGAAAGTGGATAAACCAAGCTACTCCTCAAATATCCTCGTGCGAAGCACCACTATCTTCGGTACCTGGGCGGTATCATATCAAACATCATTCCAACAGAAGGGTGAGAATTCACATAATTATAAAATATATAATATAAACAATGTATATAACACACATACATCTAAGGAATTTATCACACTTCATATGATTATCTATACAACATGGCTTTACAATTCCAAGTACAAAAACAATTATATCCAAACATTACAAGTATACCAAGTAGAACCATTCACACAATCATTGCATATAGAACAATTTCCACCAAAGTAACATCAATGTAACAATTAATTCAATGATCACATATATTATAAACATCACCAATGTCACGATCAAACCAATTATAAGATACATTAGGCATCAAAGAAAAATATCACATAACAAAAAATGTGACTCTAATGCAACTCAATGTGACTCATGCATGTGGTACCATTTGTGAACATCAAGCTCACCTCGCTCTCGATTCCATATCTAGAAACAGAGCCACGCTTCCGACTCGAACAAGATCAAAGCCCATCATTATGAACATATAGTCCACCAATTCTATTTTCACACAAGGGTCAAAGAAACCATCATTATGA